TCCCATTGGAGAATATGAATTACGATACACCCAGGGGGTGTGGGGAAATCAGGGTCAAGGATGGCAATGAATGATGTGTCTCAGAGTCAGCTACACCCAGGCAGTGCCACATCTTTTAACTCCCAATAAATCATTTTGGAGTTTGGCTCGAGACTCATGATTTAAATGGGGTTAAGTGTCGCAATCCTGACAGCTAGCCAACTCTCCTAATTCATCACCATTGTCAGGATATTTGACACCCGGTCTCTTCCACCACTTCCCAACATCTGGAATGTGTGGAGAGAAAGTCAGCAGCCATGGCAGAAGTGGGAGTGTCAGAGGAGGACTTGCTCCAAACTACCTGAATGCAAACAGAAGCTGACAATGTAATTACAGCCGAAGCGGTGAAACCTGATCTAGTGAAGGAAAGAAAAACAGATGAGTACTGGAGAGAAACAAAACTCCCCATAGCTTCGGAAGTTGAGCTCCCCTATCCCAAAAAGGGGATAAGGCCCCTGAGTGAGCTGGGAAGTGTGGAATGGATGTGGGACTGGGAAAAAGCCAGAGCCCCAAAGCTCCTGACAGGATCCCTGGGGAGATCCATAGAGCAGCTGAGAGAGAAATTTGACCAGGTTACCATTAGAGATGACTGCACATTATGCCGCCCAAAACAGAGAGGAGTTTCCACAGAGTCTTCTGAAGTGAGAAGCAGGTGAGAACACAGCCCCCCTCCTCTACCCAGCAGAAGAAAAAAGAGCCAGTTCCTCCCACACACAGCAGGCAGCCCCCTCCTCTTGTGCAAACTAGACCCGGGGAGGAAGGTCAGCCACCCCAAGCACAGATCACAGAGAGGTGATGGGCCACATGAGAAAAAGAGGCTTTCATGATAAGGTGGGCACTGCAAACCTGGCATCACCTCTTGGAAGGGGACCAGAGACCATTCGAAGTTTGGACTGACCATAAAAATCTGGAAAGCCTTAAAACCAGACAAAAACTATCACCCAAACAAGTCTGCTGGGCCCAATACTTCAACCAATTTGACTTTGTGAACACATGGGGGAGGGGGGGACTTTCTGGCTGACGCCCTCTCTTGCATGCCCCAGTATGAATGCGCAAGGGAGGAGCTTGTAAATGTCATCATCTCCCCTATCCAAATAGCTGCCCAAGTAACCACCAGGCGACAATGCCGTGACCGACAAGACCGACCCACAGACAACTTAACCATGAAATTAAAAACCTAACTGCTAGCAGACCATTGGTTCCGGGACAATCAACACATCTTAACAAAAAGATGACCTAGCATAGAAAGGAACAAAACTCTACGTCCCAGAATCCCGACGTACTCTAGTCCTTCAGAGGAGCCACGACGCCAAACCAGCAGGCCACTTTGGGTTCTTAAAGACTTTGCACTTAGCTCGGAGGCAATTCTGGTGGCCTGGCATAAAGAAAGACGTGGACAGTTATGTGAAGAGTTGCACCATCTGCGCCTCAATGAAAAAACAGGTAGGAAAACCCCGAGGCCATGGGAGGAGATCGCAATGATTTTCATAGTAGAGTTGCTGAAAAGTGGAGGAAACAGTGATCTGTCTGGACTGAAATAGACTTATTTTCCAAACAGGCTCATTTCATACCATGCAGCAGGACCAGTTGGCCAAGCTGTTTTTGAAACACATCTACTGCCTGCATGAAGTACCACAGAGAATTATCTCAGGCAAGAGTCCAGTTCACGGCCAAATTTTGGAGGGAGTTCCTGCAGACTATTAGGTCATCCCAGGGCCTTAGCTCAGCTAAATACCAATGAGGGGGGAGGGATTGAATGCCATGGTAGAGCAGTACCTGAGGTGCTACATGAATTACCAGCAATCCAATTGGGCGGACTTCCTGCCTTTTGCGGAGGTCGCATACAATGATGCTGTTCACAGTAGCACAGGACTAACCCCCTTCAAAGTAGTGAGCAGTATGGACTTCGTCCCAATGCCTGAGTATCCAAGGGATCCCCTCCTCAGTCAGCCTGACCAATTGGATGTCAATGCTGAAAGCAACTTGGCAGAATGTTAAAAAAGTGCTGGCAAAAGCGGCACAGAGCTATGAGAGACAGGCAGACAGACACCAAGCCCCACAACAGCCATTCCAAGTGGGGGAAAAAGTCTACCTCTCCTCCAAATACCTGAGGTTAAGATTCCCTAACAAGAAATTGGGGCCAAAGTTCATGGGACCATTCCTCATAGTAAAGATCATCAGCCCAGTCACAGTGCAACTGAAGTTGCCTCGATTGTTAGGGAAATACACCTGGTATTCCATAGTAGCCTCTTAAAACCCATGGTGGGGTTGACCCTGGGGTCCCTACCTTGTGAGCCCCCAGACCCCATGGTCATAGGAGGCCAAACCCATTATGAGTGCAGCGAATCCTCGATTCGAGGTGGCACAGGAGACAACTCCAATATTTAATCAAGTGGAAGGGCTACCCCTTATCAGAGGCATCTTGGGTAAAGAGTAGGAACATCCAAGCCGATCGCCTTGTGATGACGTTCCATGCAGAAAACCCAACCAAGGCTGGGGTGGGTGGGTTGCAACCCTAAGTCCTATACCTGCACTAAATTTGTTTTCTTTTTGTATTGTACAGGTCACCTTCAAGAAGTGAGGGGAGCCGAATGTCAACTCATGAAATATTTCGCTGGTCTTTTAAGAGTTGCCAGCAGAAAGGGAGAAGCAGAGTAGCAGCCTGCAAAACCAAAATTGCATTCAATAAATGTTTTCTAGGCGATTGAAGTTTCTGCCGCATAAAATTCTAACTGGAGAGTATGATTGATGACTCTTGGCTATGGAAGTGTCCCATTGGAGAATATGAATTATAATACACCCAGGGGGTGATGGAAAACCAGTGTCAAGGGTGACAATGAATGATATGTCTGAGTCGGCTACACCCAGGTAGCACCGGCATGTTTACTCCTAATAAATCTTGTTTAAGCTATGAAAATCTGGCTAGAGACTCATGATTTAAAGGGCAGTAACTACTGGAGCCCTGACACCCATCCAGAGTTTGCTCCTGGCAGAGCTGGAGGAACGGGGCTCTGGGGAAGGAGAAGGAGCCTCACCTGAGCAGGAGGATCAGGCCCATCTTCCCCCAAGAGGGTCCATAATAAGCCCATTTGCATCTTGGAACATTAAAGATCTTTGTGGAAGAGCTAAAAAGAAAGCAGTGGCTTTACAAAGCAAAAATCATGACTATTTGTGTGAACAAGAAATGCAAATTATGAATGAGAAAAATTCTTTTAGAAAGAAAGTGGATAAAGAAGATTTAAATCAGTGGAAATTGAAAATTTGTAATGTGGCATTTTTACTGAAAACATCTTCAACTTGTATAGATTACTTTTAGCAGGTAAGCAAACAGACTATCAGATGGCATGAATCCTTTTTATGGCCCAACCCAAAATTAACCTAATTTTTAGACAAAAATGTACTGATAACATTTTGGGGTTCCAATTTGATGAGATGGGAGTTGCTGGAGAGAAATTCTAATTCACTTCTGGATCCACTAGTGAATCAGAAGACTTTTTCTTTTTAAAGACCCCCCCCCCCCCCCCAGAGACACAACTTTCTCCTTTTGTCCATCCAGGAGTTGATGGAGCCCAGGTGCCTGAAGTCCTAAGCCCGGTACAAGTCCTCGGCATCTGGCGCCCCTATCTGCACTTTGGGCTCAAGCAGGAGATCCTATACCATTTCAGGATCTATTGATATTCCAATCGGATCTCTTTCAGACAAGTGACTATCCAGTCTCTTCTTAAAAACGTCCAGTGAGGAAGCAACTGCAATGTCTGAAGGAAAGCTGTTCCACGGGTGAATTGTCTTCACTGTAAGGAAGAATCTCGTTAATTCGAGGTTGCTTCTCTCCTTATTTTACATGCATTGTGTCCTCTTCTGCCCTCTGGTGTTTTGGAAAATAAATTGCCCCCCTCCTCTTCTTTGTGGCAGCCTCTCAAGTACTGGAATATTGCTATCAGGTCACTCTTAACCCTTTACTGTAGACTAGCCAAACCCAAATCCTGCAACTGTTCTTCATGGCGCAGAGATTACGCGTGCAGTAATTGGAAGCTACTTCGGCCTGTAATTTGGCAGATCGAATCTCAGCAGGCTCAAGTTTGACTCAGTCTTCCATCCTTCCGAGGTGGGTAAAATGAGGACCCAAATTGTGGGGGCAATATGCTGATTCTGTAAACCGCTTAGAGAGGGCTGTAGAGCAGGGATCCCCAACCTTTTCGACGCCGCGGCCCGGTTCCGGCATCAGCTGGGCGCTGCCCGGTACTGGCGTCAACTGGGCGCCGCCATCTTTTTATGACGAAAAAGCGCTTCCGGTGAGCTTTCTACCCGGAAAAGCTCACCGGAAGCGCTTTTTTACCAAAAAAAGATGGCGGCGCCCAGCAACCAGCGGCCCGGTAAGGCTTGTTCCGCGGCCCGGTACCGGTCCGCGGCCCGGCGGTTGGGGACCCCTGCTGTAGAGCATTGTGGGGAAGTATATAAGTCTAAGTGAAATTGTTATTGCTATATAGTTTCTCTCGAGCATGGATCCTTTTATGAGAAGTAAGATTATTATTCTGAGCAAAGGCCTTTCCACATTCCATGCATTTATGTGGTTTCTCTCCTGTGTGGAGCTTTTTGTGTCTTGTAAGACCACAGCTCTCAGTAAAGATCTTTCCACACTCTGTGCATTTATACGGTTTCTCCCGTGTGGATCATCTTATGGGAATTAAGTGTACTGCTACGAGGAAAGGACTTTCCACATTCCATGCATTTAAATGGCTTCTCTCCTGAGTGGATCTTTTTGTGGTTTCTAAGTCCACTGCTCTGAGTAAAGGTCTTTCCACACTCCATGCATTCATACGGCTTCTCTCCTGTGTGGATCATCTTATGGGAAGTAAGTGTACTGCTATGAGCAAAGGTCTTTCCATGCATTTATATGGCTTCTCCCCTGTGTGGATCTTTTTGTGGTTTCTAAGACCACTGCTCTGTGTAAACGTCTTTCCACACTCCATACATTTATAGGGCTTCTTCCCTGTGTGGATCCTTTTATTGATAATAAGTTGACTGCTTGTTCCAAAACATTTTCCAAATTCCAAACATTTATACGGTTTCTCTTTTGTGTCAATCACTTTTTGAGATGTAAGAAACTTATTTCCAAGAGAAAGAATGAATGTCCCATTGTAATTTTGTCCGTTGTGTCTTCTTATAGCATTTTCTCCTTTGTTTTCGGTTAAATAGTGTTCATTTACTTGTACTTTTGCTTTGATTAGCTTCACACTTTTTCCAGTATATTTTTCCTTGTTTTCTCTTGTTGGGCAAGAAAGTCTTGCATCGAAGCATCGCTGGAAGATGAGCTTTCCTGCTTCCAATTCTTTGACTGATTTCTCTCATGGGTTTCGAATTCCATTCGAATTCCAAACTTCTCCGTTCCATTTTTAGCGCTGATCACTTGGAACAGTTCACAGGAATCTTGATTCTCCTGTGCATCATTACCTTCAATACAAAAGGGAATTGAAAATGATGACAAGGTTAGAGAAAAAGATCAAAGTGTATAAAGTCAAGTGAATTTCCTTCTGAATTTCTCCAAAATTACATTAGGTTGTATGTTTGCATGCCTACAGTTGTTTGATATAGACATGATGATTTCTATATTCATGAGTCATGAAAGCTTTAAAAATGTCTAGAAAACATCTCTTTCTTTACAATTATCTAAATATATCCAAATCTCACACAGAATCAGCTTTGAGTTAAGGAGTAGAATAGAATAAGAGAGGTGGAAGGTACCTTGGAGATCTTCTAGTCCAACCCCCTGCTTAGGCAGGAAAACCTACACTACTTCAGACAAACGGTTATCCAACATCTTCTTAAATACTTCCAGTGTTTGAGCATTCGCAACTTCTGGAGTCAAGTTGTTCCACTGATTAATTGTTCTGTTAGGAAATTTCTCCTTAGTTCTAAGTTGCTTCTTTTCTTAATTAGTTTCCACCCATTCTTTCTTGTCCTACCCTCGGGTGCTTTCGAGAATAGCTTGACTCAGGGGTGGGATTCTACTGGTTTCGACCAGTTCCATAGAACCAGTTGTTACAATTCTGCACTATTGGGAAAACAGGCAAATCGTGCCCCTGGCTGGCCCCTCCCCTCTCCACCCACCCATCCTCTGTCCACCTACCCCTCCCAGTCAGTCCTTATCACGCATGCGCAACATTGCGTGCATGCCCGACATTGCTGACTATATTCTTCCCCGCCCAGTCACTCCTTAAGGTATTCCTTTTTTTCTCCTCCCGATGATCAGCTATTCTGACAAGCAGCTGTGCCAAGATCCTCCTCGCTTCTTACAGCTTCACCCAGAAGGCTTCCTTGAGGCCCAGGAGGCAAAAAGGGGGGCGCGGAGTGTGTATGCTGCAAACGCCCACCTCGCACTCTGTTTTTTGCCGTTCAGGGCCTCAGGGAAGCTTCCTGGGAGCTAAAACGCCCCCCCAGGACCTTCCCTGAGGCACAGGAGGCCCAAAAATGCAGTGCGCACACGTGTGCTGCTGCTGCAAAAAAGCCACGCCCACCCAGTTACATGGTCATGTCCATGGAACTGGTTGTTAAAAAATTTGAATCCCACCCCTGTCTTGATTCTCTTCTTTCTGGTAGCCGCTGAGACATTGGAACACTGTCTCCCCTAGTCCTTCTTTTCATTAAACTACACATACCCAGTTTCTGCAACTGTTGTTCATATGTTTTAGTCTCTAGTCCTCTCATCATCTTTGTTGCTCTTCTCTGCACTCTTTCTAGTCTCAACATCTTTTTTACATCGTGGTGACCAAAACTGGATGCAGTATTCCAAGTGTGGCCATACCAAGTGGTATTAACGCTTCACGTGATCTTGATTCTATCCCTCTGTTTATACAGCTTAGAATTGTGTTGGCTCTTTTGGTAGCTGCTGCACCCTGATGGCTCACATTTAAATGGTTGTCCACTAGGACTCCAAGATCCCTCTCACAGTTACTAATATTGAGCAAGGTACCACATATACTATACCTGTGCATTTTGTTTTTCTTGCCTAAAGGTAGAACCTTACTTTTTTCATCATTGAATTTCATAATAATCAGGGGAAACATCCAAGGAGGAATTAGGAGAAAACTTAACATTTATTGGGGTGGGTTAATTGAAGCAGAGACCAGTGAAAAATGAAACAATTTTGAAACAAGCTCCTTCTTCTCGGGTGTACCTTGGAGCAGCTGCTCCACGGCATCTGTCTGTCAAGCGGGACCCCCACTCAGTCTTTTCCTTAATCTCAGCACTGAGACTTTGGAGTGAAATCCCTTCCTGAAGCCCCCATTGCCTTGTAAACGCTCTTCGAGCTGAGACTGGAAAGGTTGGGATGCTTCAAGAATGGCTATTTCGGTGCCCCAAAGTCCCATCACCTTGCAAGGGCTCTTTGGCCGGATCTGGTACAGGCGTCAGTTTGCAGAGAATGGAGGCTTACAGTACTTTAGTGTGAGATCACACGAGACCAGTAGTGCAAGATCTCAGGCTACTAATCTCGCGTGATCTCGCACTGCAATATCTTAGGCCTGTGTTCTTTTAAGAACTGAGGACTGCACGAGATCCAGGGATAAAGTGTTTGAAAATGAAGATCCGTTCCCTCTCTTTGCAAAGCCTTTTGCCCTGGATCTCCTGCAGGCCTTGATTACCAGAGAACAGAGGCCTAAAGCACTGTGAGAGATCACGTGAGATTAATAATGCTAGATTTCACACTACTGAACTTGTATCTCTCACTACTTTAGGTCTCTTTTTTTCTATAAATGCACCAAAGTGGGCAAAGGAACCAATGGCTCACCACATTGTCACAAAGTACCAAATTTTTCAGACTATAAGATGTACCTAGGTTTAGAGAAGGAAAACAAGAAAAAAAAAGTTTTTGCCCTTCCTGGTCTCCAGAAGCACTCTACATGCCAGAAATGTGCTGGTTTTTGGCCTCCCAAACCTTCTATGCATCCCATTTTCAGCCTTTTCAGCCTGGAGGGCAATAACGGGACGCGCGGAGGTTTTGGGAGGCCAAAAATGGGCCCATATTTGCACAGACATTTCCATTCACATTTTTGGAAGGAAAAGGTGCATCGTATAGTCTGAAAAATATAAGCCCCTGTGAGATGGGGTGGGGGAATAGGTAGGGCAAACGTTGTAATGCTTCTGCTGTCATTCGTAAGTGTGAACGACGGCTGTAGTGCTGCAACACTCATAATTTTGGGACTGGGTCTCAAGTACTTGGAAGAGGGCTGTACTTAACTTGGAATGGTCACTAAGTGAACTGTCATAACTCGGGGATTACCTCTATCCTAGAATGCTCTGAGACATACTGCAAGAAGCCTTTGATCTTGAATTGGATTGGGAGAACACTCTTCCATGGGCTGAGTGTGAAAGTTCTGTTCTCACACAATTTGGGGAGGTTCCAGAGGACAAATGACAACACACTCCTCTCACATGACCTCCAGAAGACACATAAAAGCACACCTCGTTCTTTTTAGCCTCCACATATAAGTTCAAATAGAAATGGGAAAATACAGATAAGAATGGCACAGAAAGCATCTATGCAAAGAGACATTAACTCTTTCCTTCCAAGGAGCATGACAAGGCCAGATCCTTTTCTTCTCCCTCCAGGAGACAATATCTGATTAGTGGTTTTTAAATTAAAAACAACAACTAATTATAATCTCTCTTCCTGATTGGGGATAAAAAACTCTTACCCAGAGAGACCACGTTCCTATGGTTTTCAAGCATGACTTCCGAATGCAGCGCTTTCTGGTCAGGATCCAGCTGAGACCATTCCTCCTCAGAGAAATACACAGCCACCTCCTCGAAGGACACCAGACCCTCCTGGACATGGAAAAAACAACAGAACAGGAGGATTCGCAAGATCTGTTCATTATCATCATTCATTTAGACAAGAGGATAGAAGGGGAACTCATCAAATTTGCAGACAAGACCAAACTGACAGGAATACCAACACTCCAGAAGATAAGCTCGAGATATAGAAGGATCGGCAGATTGGGCCCCATTTAACAAAAGGATATCAACAGTGAGAAATGTAAGCTTCTACATTTAGGAAAGAAAAACCAAATGCACTGGCAAGGAATAGGTGATACCTGGCTCAACAGCAGTAATTGCAACAGGGATCTTGGAGTCCTAGTAGACAACCACTTAAACGAGAGTGCTATAGTTGTCAAAAAAAACACCAACAGAATAAAGCTTTTTAAAAATGGTAATGTGGCAATGTGATTATTTATTTTTCATTAGCCTTGCACAATTCCGAGTCAAAGAATCACTCCCCAAAAAGGGTCTCTAGCAGTTCCTGCCACTGTGATACGTTTATTCCTATTTCTTGAAGGACTTTTAAAAAATTGCTTCCTGCAAAGTCAAAGCTGGAGGAGTACCTAGCAGAACAAGATAACCAGAGGAAGCTATGCTGGCTGACAGCAACTTGAATCTGCTATTCTGCTCTCCATGTTGTGGAAGAACACAAAAATAATCCAGGCCAAAGGGGGAGAAATAGAAGGAGAGAGCACTCTGCACACCCGCTTCACTTCCTGAAGGGAGAATAGAAATCTAATATCTTTTCCCTTTCTTACTTGATTTGGAGGTTCAACAGCTGTTTGAGCTCTGTCCTAAAAACCAGAAAGCTTCATTCTTTGCTTCTCTGTAAGGAATAAATAATTTCAAAATGCATAATTAACAGAATAGGAGGAGGTATTCTAAAGGACAGAAGAGAGAGCGAAGGTTAGATGGATAATCGGAGGATCTTCCATTACCTCCTGAGGTGTCCTGACTTGGATCTTCCCAAGGGATCCTCCTGAAAAAATGCTCCTGAGGGGGATTTGATGGGTTCTTCTTTCCCTCAGGATCTTTGATCTCCACAGTGCAGCACTTCAAATAGGAGGAATGGAGAAGCAGAATTAATATACGTCACACGACACAAAGTGGATTCTTCTATTCGGAACACAACCTCAAAGCCCCCAATATTCATATGTGTGGCTGAGTGAGAAAACAATGGAACAATGTCCTACAAGAACTGGAGAATTGCCACATATTATCAACGTGGGAGAAGTTTGGGAAGGAGAAGTGGAACATTCAAGCACTCTTTCTCTCTATTCCCTTTGAAGCTCCCTAAAGTCTCCCACCTGCAGCTGGAGCTGCTCCTTTTGCTCCTCCGCCTGGCTCAGGAGGAAGCCTTCTGCCAGGGCCACCGCCTGGGAGCTGCTCTCTGCTCCACACGCCCGCACTCAGCCCTCCTTCTCTGGGGGCAGAAGGAAAAGAAGATGTTCCAGAACCACCAGGTCCAGCATCTGGGCTTTGCTGTTTTCCTGGGCTCAGCCATCGCCTGCAGAAGTCATGGAGTTGGCTGCAAAGTCCGCGGGGACCCTCAGCCTCCCGGTATCGGATGGAGGTCCAGGGCGGAACTTCTGAAGGGAGGACCTTTTCTGCTCCCCTTCTTGGCCAAAGGGGGTGTGTCTCCATCTTTCCTCTCTCCAACAGAGCAGCTCCGAAGGGCTCCAGGGACTCTGGGGGGTCTCCAGGGGCCTCTTCCTTCACGGGACCATTTCTGATCTACAGGACGGATCCTTGCCAGTCCTTCCGCAATCTTCCTTCCTTCCTTCCCCCGCCGAGGAAATCCTGGCTTGCAAAGGCTTCCGAGTGCTCCAAGGTTCCGGATCTGAGAGGGAGAGATAAACCAACGCCCAGGATCAGAAAGGGGGATTCAACCCCTGGACCCCCTTCCCCAACCTGCCCGGAGCTCCAAGCGGCTCCTCCCAGCATAGGGCCCAGCCTCCGAGCAGGGCCGAGAAGGAAATACGACTTCAGCAATAGAGTGGTCAATGTCTGGAATACTCTACCTGACTCTGTAGTTTCTTCCCCAAACCCCAAAAACTTTAACCTTAGACTGTCTACTATTGACCTCACCCCTTTCCTAAGAGG